AATCACAAACATATCAATTCGTGAAAACGTACTGGACTGAGGAGAGTAGATTATGGCAAAGAATAGTGGATTCCCGGTGGGCCAGGCTGCGGCTGGACGGTGGGGGTAATAGACATTCTTCTTCACACGGTTGTAGTCTATGGAAGAAGATACTGGTTCAATGGCTGCAGTTCAGGGTGCATTAGGTGGAAATTGGGGAGAGGAAATAAAATTAGTTTTTGGCATGATGACTGGACTGGCGAATGCTCTCTTATGAAACGATAGCTGAGAATCTATGGCATTGCTAAAGCAAGAAACATGCTGGTTGAGGAGGCTTTCCAGGTGACCAATGATAACATTGTATGGTGGATTAATGTGGCAAGAAATCTAAATGACTGGGAGGTTTGTGATTATGAAGACAAGATAAAGGTTTTGGCATCTCAAAAAGTCAATAATTCACCTGATCAGATCTGTTGGCTTCTGGAGAAGAAACAATGTTTCACAGTCCGTTCCTACTACAAGTTCCTGGTTGAGGGGGCTGCTGTTGGGTTTCAGAATTTCCCATGGAAACAAATCTGGAAAACGAAGGTTCCCCCACGTGTTGCTTTTTTCGCTTGGGAGGCATGTTGGGGGAAAATTCTTTCTCTGGACAAACTTAGAGCAAGGGGACTAATCATAGTGAACGGCTGTCATTTGTGTCTGAATGCAGAGGAATCTTGCAATCACCCTTTGTTGTGGAGTCCCATCGCACAGTCTTTGGTGCATGGTTTACATTTTGTTGGGGGTAAATGGGGTTGTTGCGGGCTCGGTTTGTGATGAAATATGGGCGTGGGAAGGTCTGAGTATTAAAAGAAATATAGCTAATTTAATTCCATTGACTGTTTTTTGGGTTATTTGGAAAGAGAGAAATGCTAGAGCTTTTGAGGGTAAAAAATGTCGCTTAAATAGGTTAAATTTTAGATTGATATAGTATTTTGGTTCTATTTTGTTAGGTAATGATATTATTAGAGATGTGGATTTTGAGAATGTCATTGACATCTTAACTCATTTGTAAATCTTTTGTAAATGAATGGTACCCCTGTTTTGGTACCTTGTTAATATATTTTGTTGATATACACGTTATACTTTTTATTTTGAAAAAAATATCAATGCATGAAAACAATGGATTATCCCTACCATTAGGCCAAGTCCACTTGCGACCTTTTGAAGGGAGGTTAATGAGCTTCACCGCCCCAAAAAGGTCAACTGAATTCCTTAGTTCAATTTGCAAAGCTCCTTCAACTAGTGTTCCAAGTGAGAGAGAACCATTTTAAAATCACCTCTAGTAAAACAAGAGGCCATTAGTAATTTAGTTGTCCACTTATAGGTAATCAGGGAGCAAATTCCTCTCATTCCCTTTGCATCTCCCATATATTTTATTGAAACTCCATGTATTGTTGTATGATTCTGTGGTAAGTAGATTTGTGTCCTGCTTGAGTTA